ATGGATGTTTCTGGAAAATCATAGCAGTGCAACAGTTAGCACACACATTTAAACTGCCACATTTTGACTTTTGGAGTTCAGGCTAAGACGAATTGGCAAATTCCCACCTCCCAGAGTTACTATTTCAATTTGCCTTCACATTGCAAGAATACTCAGTTTGCTACACTAGAAAAATAAGTCACCCCATCCAAAAGGCTGATAACTGCAATTTTCCGCCCTGAAATTGAATGTTATGTTGTCCAGAAACTCACAGGACTTCTCAGAGAAGCACTAGGACAGCATATCAACTTCTGCCTGCTCAATCAAGTCGGATGGAATTTTAGCTTCCCTTGGGATATTTAGCATGTGTTGATGAGGATAGGTAGGTGGACAGGAAGAATAGTCCGAGACCACATTAAAGCAACAGCAGTTTCTAAAATTGTTTTGACTGCGAAGCAGATGAGACACAAGATGGTTATGGGTAAGAACTACAGTGTGTATGGTAACCACCAGAAATCAGAGTAAATGGGGTAATACCATACAAGCTTACCATGTGTGCAGATTGCTTACTGTCTTCTTTTTTTCTTCCCCTCACTACGCTTTTTGTTTTTATTAAAACATTCTATGTTTTATAAAAGAAGACTGTTACAGCTTTTATCAGTTATGGTACAGTTTAAGGAATAAATTTCTTCTTTTTTATAGTATTCTTGGGATTTGTTGCATAAGTCATTATTCTGTTACTCCTCTTTCATGCCTGGTAGGCAAAGGCAGCTACTCAATATGTATCCTGACATTGTTTTCTTCAAGAGGAAAGAGGCTTTCATATATCTGGCAGCTGTGGTCCAAATCAAAATTTATAATTGTCTCTCTTTCATGACTTGTTTTCCCACCTAGGAAAATGCAATTAAAAAAAAAACCAAATGAACAACATGAGTAATGAAGATACTTTGCTCACTGGGAGGCCATTCTAGTGTTCAACATATGTCATAATTGTGTTTTCTTAGACACTTTAACTAGATGTGCTTGCTTATAACTTTTCACAGATAGCACAGCTCCAAACACTGTCCTAAATATTCACCATCATCTTTATAGTTTCTAAATACTTTCAAGTCCTCATCATCTGTTCATTCTAGCCACTGCTTCCAAAAGATGGAGATCAAATTAGTATGAAGCGTAGGAGGCATTTAGGGAACAGATACATCCGTATACACAGACAAATATTCAGACAGCCATTTAGTTTCTGTTTATGTGTGTCATGAAAAACAGTAATTTAAAAAATCCTGAAGCATACATAGCTAATTTTCACTTGGAGATAATGAGCTGTATACATGACAAACAAGAACAGATGCCATATGCCTTCAAAGTCATATAAAAATCAGCTGATCGTTCCTCTTACTTACTCGCAAAGCATGGACATCACAGAAATCAGTTCTGGGTCTCAAAAGTAACCTGTAACCTCACCATTGCAGTACCTTTCAGATCTGCTGTAAAATTGAGAGCTCTCTCTTCTCCTTATGCTTTTTTTCCCCAATAGTCAATTTGTGTTTAATATTGTTCAGCCTTTTTCCTCCTGCTTGGATTGGAAATTATGATAAAATATGGGAAAACCTTAGAGGTATTTCAGATAGCTCCGGATTAGAGATTTGATCTGCATAAACTACGCTGTAAATAAAAGGCTACTGACAGTGCAACCCCTACCAAATGCACAAGCTTTTGGAGAAGCAAGATAATCAATATTTTTTTCCACATATGGCAAACATATTCCTGGGAAGCAACACAAGAAGCAAGAAAAAGAACAGAAAGAGTAAGCTAAAACAAAAAACTCTCTTCAGCAGCTCTAGACCATTCCTGTCCAGTTTGATCCAAAGAACATTAAAGGATGCAGGATAATTTGCAATAGTAACTGTATGATCAATTCTCTTAATAGGAGCTTGCCCTTACTGCCATATTTTTGCAGTGCAAGATTTTCATTCTGCTCTTACTGCTAACAAAAAAGGGCGCTTCCAGTCATTACTTGTAGCTTGCTTCAGTGATTAAAACCAAGTATGCATTTCATAATCACATAATTGCATGGGGCTTATTGAAAAATGAACTCAAGTTTTAATCAGAAATAACTGTGGTAGCACTTCGTGATCTACAGAAGTGCAATTTTCAAGACAGAACAGAAAATACAGCAAGAACTGTGGCATGCTAATCTACTGAGAACTCTTTCTGATACTGAATTGAACTGATAAAACAGAAAGCCACACTGCCAATCACCAAACATGTTAAGCAGCTCTCTATTTGCAGAAGGATTTCATTTTTATTTTTTTTTGCTCTGAGAACACAGCCATGACAATATTCAGCCAGTTTTGGTTATTTTGCTTTTGTACCTAGGCCAAATGCTTGCAAACAAAATCGGGTCTTTTTTAGGCCATCTTAAGGGACTGCTACAGTTGCTGAAAAAGAGATGATCTTTCCTCTTTTCTTTTGTAATAATTACCAGTCAAAAAGTCAAGCAAAAAACTCTTAATTAGCAATAGCTACAACCTATCTCACCATTTTATGCAGCAGAACAATCATTTTAGTATTATGTTACTCCATAACTTACTATTTCTTTATCGTGCTAATGCAATTATCACATCAGCAATGCTCCTGTCTCCTTTCCTCGCATCAGCAGCTACATGCAGATATTCCTTTTAATTGCTTCCAGAGCCATGTCTGGTCCTGTTAATGCAATTGTAACAGGCCAAAGTGCACCTCTGTGTATACCTGACCCCCACATACAACTTCAAGAGTTGTTTTTGGGAAGGCAACTTCACTGCAGCCTGAACCTAACAGAATGGTCTGGATTCATAAACAACTGGCATAGTCCCGCTGTTTGCAGTACGACAAAAAGCTTAGAAAAATCTGCAAAAATCAGCCACTTCTGAAAGCTGTACTGATACACTTGTACTAGTAACAACATGGTTCAAAACATCAAACCATAGAAAGCAAATATTTAATCTAGAGCATTACATAACAAGAAAAAACATATCTGGACAAACGGTAGTACATTTAAAAAAGACCAGCCAACACATAAGATAGAATCAACTTTGGTGGCACTTTCTACAGAAGTGACACCTCAGGTACGTAACAGAGCCCAACAGATTTTTCAAGTTAATTCATTCAGTCCTTTCCTGAATACATTTCAGGCTGCACTGTATCCTGTGCCTAGAAGTCCCATAGCCCAATTATGGGCTTCAAGAAATGCAATACTTTTATGCTTGTGCTGAATTGATTAAGTGTTCGCTTATTTTGACACCTGTTCATTATTGTATTTATAACTTCAGTTTGATATGTTAGTTTATATGCTTCAGTGGATAAAAAGGTTTTTCCTTATCTATTTTCTCCGTACCACCTTCAGTTTTATAGACCTTTTTCCATTCCTCCCTAACCACAATCCGCAAATCATCTCTCTTCTCACTTTCACATTGGAAAGTACTTGGCTGTGTGTTTAGTTACTGATCAGTTAATTCAATAACTAAAGGAATCGTTCAGCTGCTTTAAAAAAAAAAAAAAGAACAAGAAAAAACAATCCAGACTGATTTTTACTGTACTATTTACTGGCTTGTAACTTATACTGAAATTGTAGTTAATGTCAGCATCAAAGTGGATGGGATTAAGACAGATTAGTCAAGCCCAGTTAAAACTCAAATTTTTAAATTAAAGTGACAAACAGATTTGAACAAAGGTTGAATTAATCATATCTCTATTGGAATTCTGTGTTAATGTACTGGGATTTATTTTCCAGTACAAAGGAAAAGGCAAAGCAGGGAGTGAATCTGTCTTCATCAGTTCAAAATGCATCAAGGAGATGGAGTCATGATCATCATTTGCAGTTTAACAATAGAAAACTGTTGGTAAAGAACCACGTTCAAAGGAGAAATGGAATGGCTGGGTTTCATCTCTCATTGACAAAATTCAGACCCTGCATACATCACCTTTGCAGTACTGCTGCAAATTGAATGTCTGTTTAAAGATGTCTTCAGAACAGCAGAAGCTATGACTCATCTGCCTCTGTGGGAAACTGCAGAAGTTTGCCAGTTTACAGAAAGTTAACAGGGCAAGAAATTAAGTTATGTTTCAGGAAAATGCAGCACGTGATAGATCAGGCTGACATGTATCAAGTAAGAAGGTAAGTTCAGTACTCCATGGGGTGATTAGATGAAGAAGCAAGTATTTCACCAGGAATTACCTAGATCAAGTTGAAAAAAAGATGTGTATGAAAAGGAGGTTACATCAAAAGAGGGGAAAAAATCCCAGAGAAGACTCAACTTCCTACAGTTTATGATGTGGAACTGACACAAAGCATCCCATGCCAATCACTCATAGTAGATATTGTGCTGCTAGCAGATTAAGTGGTAAATGCCAGTACAAAAACAAAAACGTGTTTTACTTGCCCTTATGGTTGTACAGACTACATTTATGCATTTAAGCATTAACCTTTTGTGACCAAAGTGAAACCTATGGAGCTAAATTAATGCTTAACAGGTCTTTTCAGTGTGTTATTCATAACATGTTGTATCGGTTTTACACGGCAAGGTTTTGGTGTCAGTGGGGCTGCAGAGATGGCCTCTGTGAGCAGAGCCCTGTAGCTGCCCCACATCAGATCAGAGACAGCTCCAGTTGCTCCAAAAGGAACTTGAGCAAAACATCCAAAGCTAAGCCATAAGTGAAACTGTGTGTGCGAGCAGATTTAAGGAAGGAGAAAACTCAGTGCTGTGTAGCAGCAGCTGGGAGTCCTGTTAAAGAAGAGGAATGAGAGAACACTGTGGTGGGCACCTGGTATCCATCACAAATGCGCAAGCATCCTACTTTGTCTGAGAAATTTAAAACATACTTCTCTCCAAATAGACTTCCTGATCATAGTTTCAGCTAACATTTTCTAGGACCACAAACACAGACAAGAAAAATGAATTTGGTAATAATGCTATGTTCATTCATTAACATATCTGGAAAGCCACTTAATCAGAAACAATTTTAACATAACAAGCACTAACCAGTGATTGTCGGAACAGGAAGCACTTCCTTGGGTCAATCCCACAGGCAAGGATGGCAGCAGTGGTGTCCAGCACGTTTTGCCGAAGGACAGCTGGCTCCTTGGGCATGGTGAGAGAGTGCAGGTCCATAATGCTGTATAACACTGAGCTGTACTTTTCCTGCAGATTCACCCAGTTCTGAATAGCTCCAAGGTAGTTACCAAGATGAGGCGTCCCAGTCGGCTGGATACCAGAGAAAATCCGATCCATCACCACATTCTGTTAGAAAGTAGTGGTAACATTAACAGAAGCATAAATATATATACATATTTAAAGGCTCTTTTATATTTTAACTCATTAATAAAGCCTTACTTACACTTGTCCCTCCTTTCTGCTTCCCAATGTACTAGAAAGCCCTATCTAGGGATGCCTAAAAGTAAGTGCAAAAAGTCAGTCGAAATACTCTATCTTACCCCAGAGATGGACAACAAGCATGGTTTTAAGAAATCTGACTATATATGCAAACAAACACAGCTATAAACAAGATAAGTGAATACCAGTTTTCAGAAACCAAGTGGTATATTCATCTTTTTTTCAATTTTTTTGCTTTGTGTTTCTTCTTAATACATTGTCCACTCTGATACTGATACTTAAGATCATAACAAAGAGAACATTTTTATTATAAACATATATAATATCCAAGTTGATTGCCATCTTAACTCCCATGAACACTGCAGCCTTATGCTAGCTACAAAGAACATTCGGAGTGGTTCTTGAAAGAAAACTACTTCTTGACCTAGAAGTCAAGACCATCAAAGTCTTGAAACTAACCATCTTGGCAGCAGGTGAGTTTCGAAAGGGTTCTGTAGAGGAACATTACCACAGCTCAAGATCACATGAATACACCAGTACACTGATAAGTAGTACCAGTAACAAAATGAACATCCGAAGGGAGTTCACAGGAGAGAAAAAAAAATAATAATAAAAAAAAAAAGATTAAGAAGCTGAGGTTGTGAACAGAGATTAAAAAGCTTTAAAAAAAAAAAAAAAAAAAAAAAGTATTACTTGGCTAAGTGACAGTTACCATCTTGGAAAGTTTGTTTTCCTGCATCTTTGCACTCCATCTGACCATTTCTCAGAGCCCTAAGCTGTCACTGCATGATCAATTACCTCCTGACCTTTCCAAAGAATTGCACCATATCCAGAAAGTAATTCAGCAATGTTTTATAAGAAAATGCTTGCAACGTGCCAAGTTAGGAGAGTATGCAAGACTGTTCAACTTATACATGAGGGTCTCAGCAAACTCAACAGGCAGTCCCAGTTACAAAGCTGTACAATACAAACTGTCAGACTCAGGTGTGCAATGGGAACATCAATTTCATTGTATTTCTGGCTGCATCATTTCTTTCCTGATTAATTTTATAAGAAATATCTATTAAAAAAATAGATCATTTATTTATTGATATAATCTGTTCCCAATCCTGTGAATCTGTTATAAATGTATGGGCTGGGGGGGGCTTAGGGGGGGGGAAAAAAAAAAAAAAAAAAAAAAAAAAAAGTAGTAATTCAACTATGAAACCACATAAAACGGCAGTAAGAGTCAAGGACAAGTATCAGTATTTTTAACTATTACAAACAGAACTCCAAATTGACTGCATTCCCTTAATTCTTTTTGACTCAGACAGACAGAAAAATGACTGAGAAAGTGTTTCAAAGTAGAACTTAAAACATGATTTATAGTTCAGAAAAGCCTGGTCAATTTCCTTCAGAATTTGCTGAAAATTTCTCCCTGCTTTAAAAGTAAGACAATTTTTCAAATCCAGACAGTTTTCTTATCCAGTGTATTAGTGTTTGTGCTGACAGGTAAGAGGAAGTTTGGGCTGGCAGTCATGCTAATTTCTCTCATAAGTGCCCCCACGTTTAAATCCAGGCAATAACCTTCCCACACCATCCCAAATAACAGCTTGACTTCTAAGTGCATTTTTGAGTTAGTTTCTAGGTACTCTTGGAGGACCTCTAGTCTTGTAGCTGTCAGGCAGTCAGTGCAGTGAAAAATCACACCACTTCCTCCAACAGCAATTCTAACTCCCGGTTCTTGTGATGCGGTCTTTGACCACCATACTCCTTTTCTCCACATTATAAGATATGCAATCCTTACACTTCTTGTTTACCTAGGAACCATAGCAGAACATTTATCACCACTGGCTGAAGATACAACCTGGCCCAAGGACTGCAGGTAACTTGCTGTTGGCCAAGCGAGGCCAGATGCTCACCTAGAGCAAGAAAGAAGTCCAACATGCATAAATGAAATGAAACTTAGTAGAAACTCAAGATTCACTAGGGTTAAGAGCTGTGATGTTAAGGACGTAGAGCAGTTGTGAAGCAATGCAACAGGTATTTAATAGGCATAACATTTGTCTTTTGCTTCCCATATTCCAATTCTTCACCAAGAGGATAGAGCTCTGAAAAGAAAACAAGATATGAATAGGTGATTACTGAGATAGTGTTCTGGACCCACAGGGATCCCGGAACAACTAGCTGTTTCTCAGAGCACATTTCCTATTCTCATGTTCCTATCTCTCTTCATTCAGCTCAAACTCTGATGCTCCCTCCCTCCTTCCTTTCTATCCACAGTGCTGCTTGCTTTCCAGCTTTCCAGATTTATATGCCTGTTTAACCACACTATTCTACACAAGCTACAGCTGCCTACAGCCCCTCTCATTCTCTTCTCTACATAGTTTTGCACCTCCCAAGTTCTCAGAGTATTTTCTCCTCCTGCTCATTCTTTCCCATGCCCTGCTGCCCAGACAGCACAGCACATCAAGACAGTAGGGAGGCAGTGAGTGAGGAGGCCACCACTGCTTTGAACGCAGTGACTTTACAGAGAATGATTCCAAGCTGCACTGTTAGAATACTGAAGAAACTTTATGATATTGCAGAAACTACTGTGGACATGCACCAAATAAAGTACATTTAGATGACTGTGTTAAAAGATGGTGCAGAAACGTGCACGTCTTTTGACTGTAGCATAGACAAAGACAGTATCATGTGAGATGTCCTCTTGTTATTGCTTCATTTCCCTTGGTGCTCTGAAGCTCATGCTGCTCCAGAGCACAAACAACTCTACCCCTCGGGGTAAGTGTCTGCTGTACCAGAAAGCTGGGATCACGGTGCACTTCACACAGGTTTGCTTATCAGGGCCTTGACTCAAACACAGCTGGCACTTTAAAACTGTGGAGAACAGCTCTACCCATGAGCCTCCTCAAGCCCAAAGCCTTTTAGTCTCTGAACTCTTGTAGCCTCAGTGCCCAAAACACAGTCAGGATCTTCTCAGATCACTGCCCACTTTGTAGATTAAGTCACTATGAACGTATCAGTTGTACTGGCAAAACTGTCCCCTGAGGGGAGTACAATATTCTCAAATAGATGGTACAAATGCAATAGAGACATTTTAACAGACAGTCCAAAAACATTTTTCACTAACAAAATCTAAACATTGGTGTCTCAGTATACCTTGCAAGTTCAAGCTCTGCCTTAACTCAAAATTCTTGAAGGGTGACAATGAGCTAATTAAAGATGGGTAAAACTGTAAGTTAATATTTGCTGACACATTACAAGTTGGAAAGAAAACATCCATGCACAATGTAAAATGGACGCAATTTAAAATAAACAGAGAACAAAGTTTTCTGTCTACCCAGGAAACAGTCTACCTGTGAACGCAAGCACAGCATCTTTAATGGTGCCTCTGTGTTCAAATGGTAAACAACTACTTATAAAAGGTTTGTTCAGTGTACGGGCAATAAATAATCAGTCAAGCATGAGAATCAAACAGTAGCAGCATTATAGCAAGTCAAAGCTCAGCAATTTCTTAAAGTATGGAACTTACAGAAACAAGTAAATCCAATAATAAAAACTGAGTGAGGCTATACTAGCAAATCAGTACAAAGAACAAATCCACACTGGCTCCCAGCTGAGAGACCAGTTGACTAGAAGTCTTTCATCTTTAACTCCTTTGATTCTCTTCAACAACATAAAACATGAGATGTTCAGCAAATTGCGTTAGCAGAAGTCTATATTAAAAAATACAAAAATACCCACCCTTAAATGAATCTTGAATTTCCAACTCTAAAAATATACAGAGAACATTGCTCCTTTGGAGAGAGTTTACATTCGCTGTTTGTTCACCCCATGAGAAGCAGCGGGCAGCAGAGCAGCGTGGCAGGGGAGGGCTGCCTGGTACCATGAAATCATAGCACTGGAATGTGCTTCGGCAGAGCTGCTATGTCAGGAGATGGGAGCTGCGTGCACTGAAGCTGGAAAGGGATGAAAACAAAAGGAGTGAAGACTTCCCAAAGGGGCAGAGCGAAAGTCACAAGACATGAAGTTTCAGCCCATAGGCACTCACTCATTCAGATATCTGCAGTGAGCACAGTGTGAGCCTGCTGGTCCTGTGTTTAACTCTGTATGGTGTGTGCACCTACACCATTAATGGTTTATGTAAACCCACACTCCTGTCAAAAGCATGGTATCACAAGTGTTTTAACATGTATTACTTGTTTTCTCTCCGTAAGACTTCTGCATGGCAACTCCAAAACACCATGGTGATTTTCCTAGCAGCATTTCTAAATTAAGTTTGGTCTAAAACTTGTTAAAGTGCACATGTTCTCTTACCTCTTCACTAGGGAATCAACACTGCTGCTCCTCTTATTGGAAAACTGACAACATGGAAATGCTTCTGAACTACCAGGACTAAGTGTTGTGTTCCTGTCCTGATGCAAATCCTCACACCTACTTTGAAAGCAAAAGGCCATACTGGAAAAGACAGTTGCTTCAAACTCCAGCCCTGCTGTCTTGGGCCAAAGCTCAGCTTTTCTCAGTAGGCTATGCTGCAGTCAGGAGTCAAGGCCTCACTTTGGCCGTCAAATACACCCTCATTCCCTGCATGTATCAGACAAAGAACTAGAGAGCTCAGCAAAATCCCTTCTACAATTCTAGTAAATCCCCCTTTCCTTCTCCAGGCTGAGCTGCACACCTCAGAAAGCAGAGACAGGCCTCTCTTGATGAGCCCACAGAGACACTTCCAAACTCTTCAAGCAGCCCAGCAGCACAACCTCCCAGCACAGCCATGCGGTGCTTTGGATGCTACTAGCTGCACACGTTGCTTTTCCAATTGTGTTTAAAAGCTTTTTGCAACCTCCAGAGAAGGATGTCATATGCTCCTTAAACTATTTGCAGCTGTAGAAGAAATTTGACAAAAAGTTTCTCTATTTCATTCCATGACTTTCAGCTGACTCAAATTTACTTCGTTAATAGCCTCTAATTTAGACATCTGTACAATCCAAATACGTGTTATTCAGATATATGTGTATTTGATATCTAGACAATATGACAGTTACAGAATATCTTTTTAAAAGTTGTATTGTCCACATGAAACATTTACAAACATAAAATTTTGCACTTAAATACTCTGTAGTCTTTTTAAAAGAATCTGTGGAAACGTCTTTCTTTTGAATTAAACATTACAGACTCTGAAAAGAGCTTAGAAGTTATGGAAATATACAAGTAACCACAATCTAAAACTGTTTTTACCAAACTAAAAATTCAGTGGAAAGCAATAGAAAAGCTCATCACTGCAAACATTTCATTCTGTCACTGATCATAACAATAAAGGGCTCTTTCCATGAGCTCAGCACCACATCTGCAATGCTTAAAAGGGCAATTCTTCTTTTGTTTATTAGTATAAGAAGCCACCTCTGTCTCTTTTAAAATTACAGGAAGTTGCTAATTTTATTGATTTTTTTTTTTGTAGATTCTGCACCAGGAAGAATTTATTATTATTATTATTTTAATTGCTCAGGATAAGACCCAGGCAAATATGAACTGTCATCATACCAGAAGGCAAAGCACGGACACGAAATCCGGCAATTTATTGAGGGAGCTAGTGATTGGGAAGCTTCAAACTGCACCCACTCAAAAGAAGAAAACAATTCAAGCCTCTGAAAGTGCTGAGAATGATACTGAAAAGATTCAAGCAGATCAACAAAATTTTGTTGAGCCAGTTCTTAGTATCCCGGTTATGCCTGTCACATTTAGCTTGAGGAATTCAAAGAGAGCTGGATTGAAGTTAGGTACACCTATCAGGCATGGTCAACAGATAATTGCTTCTCACATATGTTGTAAAAGCAGTCATAACACAGTTCATCTGTTTCTCAAAGGAGTTATGCAATAAAATCAAGTAAAAGCATTCATAGAGATTAAGACCCGCTTCTTTATAACTCCACATAAATATTGCCATCACACACTTGAAATGACATCAGATGAGTATACAGCTAAATGATAGGGAAAGCTCATGCTACTTTCATCTTTTGCTTATTTTTAAAAACTGAAAAAGCTAGTATCCATTCAAGGAGACAGGAGAAAGCTGCTGATAGGACTGCTTTTTCCTTTTCATTCAGGATAGGGGAATGCAACAGACCATAAGATTATGACATTGATTCCAACCTATAACAATGGAGGCAATACATCTCAGCTTTTCAGTCTACTGGTACTCAGTGAGGGGGGAGATGGACATTTTCAAGACCTCCCACTGGCCAGATATAGAGAGATACAAATCAACTCTTCAAGAATCTTCTGCTAATTGTATCCCCTAGGTAACTGAAGGTAAGGACAAAGCTTCTAAGTAATTGATTTCTTTAGTCTATATTCATAATTCTAACCCAAGAAGCCGACTGTTGGGAGATACACCTCTGCACCTATGTAACGTATTTAACAAATATTTTCCATTTAGTGTAATTTAAAGAAAAAGTTTTGCTCACATGCTCACCTTCGGACTGAAGAAGCAGCAAGAGATTTCAGACCTATAAACTTCACTACCACAGAAGACAATGGCAGCATTACAATAGCTGTAATACAACAACAGCTGCAGCAGAAATCCCTCTGCAACCCACCCTGCTGTGAATGGTGTCCATTCACATGCTATAGCATTTAGCCCCCTGCTTTATTTTGATAGCCATGCCGTCGGGGCAGAACAGGTGAAGAGCCAAGCACAGCCCACAGCATCGGAGCTAATTCTAAACACAGGTGGTGGGCAGGACGGCAAGAACAGGAAGTTGAGAGGAGAATCACTGCTGACATGAACGACAGGCAAGATTGATGGCTTCCCTCTCTAGTTTTCCCCACTGTGTTGGCACGCAGGGGGTGGGGGAAAGGGACGGAGAAGCTGCTGTGCCGGCGACATAACACACCGCACAGCCGCCTCAGTGCGAGCACTGATTAATGAGGCTGGAACGACTCAGGAAACAGCAAAGGATCATTCGCAGACGTTGCTCTTCTCGTTACAGTTTTATCTGCGGCGGTTCATTTAGCTCTCATTCTCCTGAGCTGCAGCAAGTTCAAAGTTGGCAGAGGAAAAGCAAACGTGAAAGTCAGAAGGAAGAAAGAGCAGTATTAAGTAAACACAGACTCGAGTTAAACACACAAATTAGGTATTTGGAAATTTCAAACATGAAGATCCTCCCAACAGGGATCAAAAAGGGAGGAAGAAAAAACAAAAATGAAAAGCTTGCCTCAGCCTAGGAGACAAAAGAAATTCTTAGGCTGACACAAGTTCCCAACTACTGCAACTCTTGCATCTGTCTAGGATTTTTTATTTCTCTCATTAATACTTTGCAACTTCAAAGCTCTCGTTTCTGAAATGATATGCTGGCCTGCTAATCTTGGCATAGCAACAACCTGTCCACAGCCAGTTATTAGGCAGCAAAAAGCAGGGGACCCAGAAGAGCCAGATTTTACTAGCTAAAACATATATTTTAAAACCTAATTGGGTCGATTTAAGTGTTAATGTTATTAAGATAGGAAAAAAAATTAAAAAGGGAACCTTACAACCTCTACATACTACAACCTTTTCTTTGTTTGTTGCCTCTTAAGCAACTACTTCTCCACAAGCGTGGTGCAGAAGCCGTTAAAATGTATTTATCTCGATCTCTTAATGCAATACATCAAATTCATCTGGTACAAATGCCATTTCATCACACTTAATTCTTAAAATTAGCAATTAAAGAGCTAACACTAAATCAGAAAGAAAACATATTTATGCCAGGGCAAGTTTTCAGATAAGTATCTTCTAAGAAGGGATTAACTCACCCTCAGAAACCGAACAAATTTAAGATTTAAAGAGCACTGCCTGGTACCCTTTTCATGAATGTCAAACGTATTTATATTTAAACACAAGTAAGATTTTAATATTTATATTTAAAATGGGAAACACATTTAATGGAGAAACATTTACAGCATATACTAACTCCACTCCATAAATTTAACTCTGCCCTCTAGGGCTAGCAAAAGACTGCAGCACAACTGTGCTGGGGTTAGGCTGCCCTCTCATGCTGCCTCGTTAAAGATGACTAAGCAAAGAGATCCTTTCATGTGGTAGGCTGCGTCCCACAGCCGTATTCTCCCATTTGCCTTTATGAGCCCCACGTGCCGCTCAACGTGCTCGCAGCAGCCGTACCGGCAGATACAAGGACTGACTGCCCGCAGCACAGCGCCGCTCCACAGCAGGTACCCCTGGGCCCAGGGCACTCAGAGAGCCTTTCCTCCAGCACCGAGTTGAGCAGGTGACACAAACTCTGGCTAGAGGATGCTGAGCCTACAGAACAGAAGAGCTGGCCGCAGAGGTCTGAGGGTGAGAAATGGAGTTTGTCACTGGCAGAACTGCAAAGGTCTATGAACACTTGGCTCAGCATACGTTGGTTACATCACCAACTGCTGTAACCAATCTCACCCTCAAAGTCTCCCTTGGCAAAGACAGTGCTTGATTAGAGTCCTATTTCTTTGGGTGCTGTGCCCTAGGACTCTCCTACTGGAAGGATAGCATTCCACTGCACCAGTTTAAAATAGAGGCAGACTCTGGAGGGGCACAGTTAGAGAGCACTGCTTCTGCACTGTCTGGTTTGAACAGATAGGCACAGAGCTGCAGACTGGCTTAAATGGTTTACGACAGGCAGTGGCCTATCAGCCTTAAAACCATTTATTCAATATAGACTCATAGCACACCCCAAGTTAGAAGGGACCCACAAGGATCACTGAGTCCAACTCCTGGCTCCACAGAGCACCAGCAAAACACAGACCCCATGTCTGAGAGCAGTATCCAAATGCTCCTTGAACTCCAACAGCTCGGGGACGTGCCCACTGCCCTGGGCAGCTTGTTTCATGCCCACCACCCTCTGGTGCAGAACTTGTCTCTAACTCTCAGTTGCTGGACAAGTGGAACAAGATTTGAGTCTACATTTTGAAAGAGTGATAAAAAAAGGCC